AAGGTTAAAAAGGATTATTACATTGGAATTCAGGATCCTAGTGCGGTTGTCATCCATTAAAACACATTAACTTGCTTTTAGCATAATTTACATTTATTTTAGTTAATTTAGTCACAATTACATAAATAAACTAACTTAGATATAATTTGGTCATACACACATAAATCACTTTTTTATTGCTTTGGTTAAGGTCGATAATTAAAATTGAACTAAATCAATCTCTGTAGGACAATTGTTGGACTCAAATCCACTTTATTACTTGTTAACGAATCATACACTTGCGGTGGTTTTAATGAACAAGTTATTGGCACAACTATCGGGGATTGAGTTTTAGTTTAATTTTATTTACCTTGGCACTAATTCGAACATTTTTAGTTATTTATTTTTTTCTATTTTATTTTATCTGAGTGCTACTATTGTTCTTCTTTCTGGTCTTGTGTGCGAAGGTCGATTGATGGTAAATTGATTCCAACTGATTAAGAAATCGAACACATCTTTCATCGTAGGAAAAAAAACAATGACGGTACAACAAAAAGACCAAAAATAGCAAGTACAAATGGCTACCGAGCAAACCAATCCAGTAGTTCAAGTCAATGAAGAGAAAGCTGTTGATGAGGGAAATATGCTTGTTGGGGATTTCATGACACCATAGATTATTTAGAGTCAATCTAGCATTGTTTGCCCTCCATTTTGACAGCCTGTCTTCCAGTTGAAGACCAACGTTATACATCTATTCCAGAATGGATATCGATTTTATGGTAGAACAGAAGAGAATCCACATGTGTCAACACTTTAGTTTTTTAGATGATGATATTAGACTGAGGCTGTTCCCACACACTTTTACGTGATAAAACAGTTGAGTGGTTGGATTCCCAACCCGTTGCCAATATCAGCACAAAGAATGATCTATCCCTAAAGTTCTACACAAAATTCTTCCCACCAGCCAGATAGAAAAGTTGAAACATGATATATTCATCTTCCGTCAAGGTGAATCACAATCTTTTGATGAAGCTTGAACGAGGTTCAAGAACATGATTAAGAAGTGTTGTCATCACGATATCAGCAATGGACTCCAGGCCCAATATTTCTATACGGGACTTCTTCCATCATTCAAAAGCAAGGTGGATACTTTGTCTAACGGCTCTATATTTACAAAGATAACTGACGAGGCTTTGAAATTTTTTGAGACGGTGGCTATTACTTCAGCTATGTAGGCTTCCGAACGAGTTGTTCAAAGGAAAGCGTCGGGTGTAAACGAGGTGGATGCTTACTCAACTTTGTGTGCGAAAATAGATTCCTTATTTCATAGGGTGGAGAGTATATCACATACAGCTAACACAACGTAAACCAAGAAGCCGGGTTGTGAAGAATTTGGGACAGATCACAGAACAGCAAACTGTCCAATTTTTGCACAAGACACAGAACAATTGGACCATGTACAAGGGGTCAGCACCAACAAAATAACCCTTCTTAGCAATGGGTATGGGAAAACTGCAAGTATTAACAAACAAATCCTCGACCTTAATGGAAGAATATCATAATCTGGCTGAAACTTTGCCATTGTAGGAGAAAGAAAAAGGTTCTGTTCAATTTGTAACCTTAAACCAATTTTCTGGTATATTATTTTTGTTCTCATCACTGGAAAAAGACTAGTTGATAAACTGATGGCTTTACTTCTGTTTTTGGAATATATTTAGATTTGATTATGTTGATTTCCTTGCTCGTCTCAATTATGACATTGAGTTTTTGGCTTACCTTTTTGGTTCTTTCAATAGAAAACTTCTCCGAAGATTGGAACATTTCCATGATTGCATCTTCTAGCTCTTTCAGTGGAATAAACACTTCTTTTGTCTCAGCAAGTTCCTTTTCTATTTCTTTCAGTGTGGATGTGACCTCATTGTTGTTATTGTGACATTTCAACATATCTTCAACATGATCTTATAGAATCTGTATAACACATATTTTCTTTTTCTGGCTGGTCATTATGCTTCAAGAGAAAGAAAGGGAGAAACAATTTTATATGAGATTGTGACATGGTGTTGAAGCAAATTAAGAGTTAAATTGTCTACATCAATTTATTAGTAACTAGAAAGACACAATGTGCAAGAAAAGAATACAAGCAATTGAGTCAAGTCAAGGAAGAACTGCAAGGCACGTGGTGTATTCGTAATGAAGCATTTAATTGTGTGGATGTTGTTAGTGATAGTTTACAATAATAAAATCTTGCAAACAAAAAAAGGTATACCTTATAAGACCAACGCTCTAAAAGTTTGAAACTGATGACATAATCAAAATGAACGTGTGAAAATGATGATTTACAAAGTTTAATTAGTGTTGTAAGGCATGTTTCTAAGAACTATATACAAACCAAATCATGTATATAACTACCTATTCCTTGCACAATTTCTGTAAAGCCCCGAATTGATTTTGTCACGCATAATATTATATGATATAATTTTAACCCTTTAATTAAATTAAATTATTGTGTTGGATATTTTAGTGTAGTAAATATGTATTAAGTCTAGATCAAGTGAAATTGTAACTAAATTATTATCCTAACCATAAACAGGATATTCTCATGTTCCACTAACATATTAACCACATCACATTATCCCATCAACTCAAGTTTCTTTTCCCCATTTCAAGTATCTCTTAGTTTATCTTCAATATATAATTATCCTTTTATTTCCATTCAATTTCAAGTAACAAAACAAGTAAAAACACCTTCATAATCCTCCATCTTTTAGAAAGAAAACAAATTATTTTAAAAATTTTGGATATTTCAATAGACACAAAAATCTGCATTTTATGAGCATGAAATCAAGATTTTTCAAGGGTTTAAGGTAGGATAACGAGGTGCAAGTGGTTTCTCGTGTTTAATTTTATTATTTAATGTTGATAAATGTTGTGCTAACGAATTGATATGGTATGATATGATATACGATAACAATCATTCAATACAAATGATATGATATGTTATGAGCTCTTACCGAATTCTAAACATATGATACGATAGTATGATTATTTGAATGCACGAATTGATACTTTAATTCGGGGTTACACAAATGCTCGTGTCTTATTCAGTATCTCCATATACTCACCCTTTTCCTCTACATCTCACACGTTAAAATGGGTAGCTGGTTGGAAGATGATAAGATGCCGTGATTGTGTGTGGATTCATTGGACTCAATAAACTAACTCCGGTGTAAAGATTTTATTTCCAGTATTAACTTTAGTGTTATTATCAAATGGGCCTTTTATTCATTATTTGAAGAATGACTTATTTAGTTATGTATTTTCATCTGGTGGCATCGTGACCTCTTTACGTATTCTTTGCTATTTAAATTCCCAGTTTGAACCCTTTTATTTGCTTAACAAATCTTCCTAGTAAAACAGTGAGTAACTTGGCAAAATTTCATGAAAAATACACGTCTGTATATAATGTGATAAATCATTTTAAATTGTCCTCATGTATATCTCACATGGTTTTTAAGAATGCTTGTTATCTTTATTTGAAGGATAGAGATTTTAAAATTTTCTACTTAACTTTGGGTAACAAATATTACATAATTTCGTGTCGTGTTGCTAAAATCAGTAGCCATTAAAATTCTAAAATTTAGGTCGTTACAGTATCATTCTATGAGTCAGCATCCACAAATATCAATGACTAATTAGAGAGTTTTAAGAAAACCATATTCTCTCTTGCTATAGAATACCCTTTATACAGAAAATATATAATACTGATTTCCAGTAATTTACAGCCCTGATTTACAGTGACTTATACATACTGATTTACATTAATTTATAGCCATTAGAGATGAATTGCAGCCCTGATTTACAGTCCTTAGAGCTAGCATTTCTTTAACCATCTCCCCCTCAAATTGATTAAGTAGAGTTACAAGTATCAATTTTCAAGGAAATGATGGCTCTGGTAGGTCATTGATTTGGCAAAGATATCCGAAAGCTGTAGAGTAGGGGAAATGTATAGTATTAGAGTCAACTGGATTTTTGCCTTTTTCTTAAGCTAGGCTTTGTCTTACCCCCACCAAATTGAATTTGAGTAATCTTTACGGTAGTATATTTATATGAAGCTAAGTATTATCATGACCAACGAAAGTCAAGTGATAGTGTGCTTAGACAAACCTAACGTTTACCATGCCCAATCGAAGTGGAGTAGTTTTTTGCTGTGTGCTTACCAACAAACCAAGTCTTACTATTTGGAATAATTATTCTGAATTGAGGCTTTTATTCCATTTCTGGTCTATTATATTTTTATTTGGCTTCATATGTAGCACTTTTGTAGAAAAGTCATCAGTAGCGTGAATATATATGTACCTAATATAGAAAAGTTGTACAAACATTGGCAATGTCTTCTCACCTGCCCATACATACAGGTATATATAGGTACCTAATATAGAAAAGTTGTACAAACACTGAATACTTTGCAACAATGAAAGCCAAATTACTTGATTTGGATAGAGTTAGAAATTGCAAAACGAAAAACATATAAAAGTTGTAATGCATAAAAATATTCATCTTAATGAACAGAGAGAAAGCATGCTGTCTTTCAGATGAAGTAAATGTAATCATGTGGTCTGTAGAGTCGTGGTGGTTGCTACAGCGACATCCACAGCAATTGGTAGCCCAAAAGAAAAAAAATAAAGGTAAGAAGGGTAGACAATAGGACGAGAAATTTGACACTCCATTTTTTGTTCTAATAATCATGTTAAATTTGGCTTGTTGACACCCATACCCTTTGTTCTATGAAGTTTGCAGATTTGATAATTCTTCTGTTAAGTACAAGCATTTAAACTCGGAATGTAAGAGCTAATGTTTGTCTTAAATCATCCACATAATGAGAGAAATGATCAAGTTTCAGATAAAGAAAATCGGACAGATAAATTAAAACACCCTAGATTTTGATCCTAAAAGGACTTCATAAGCACCTGTACTGCACTGTACAGATCTGCTGCCTCGATACACCGATTATAAATGCAGACTTAGAGCAGAGCTACTCCTTCAGGTTCAAACAACTGCCTCAGTCCAGGAGTCTCAATCAGAGATATGTCATCATACGGATTTTCCTGCCTCACATCTATGCAGTTCCTTGTTTTCAAAATCTGCAAGATAATTCTATAGCTTGTCAAATATGAGGATGACTGTTACAAATTTCCATTATTCGACATTTGAGATATTCGAACTCATCGACCTTTAATGCTAATTACTTGCAGCAATTCATTCATGTTTAATACTATCCACTGGTGTGGAGTTCAACTAAACTTGCAATTAAATCATAAGTTGTCCAAAAAGCAATTACCAGTGCTTCATAGAATAGCCTAGCACTTTCTTTCTTGGTTTTTCCTTCGACAACCTGCGACAATTTCACTGCAGCATCCTCATTGCATCTCTTCCTCCTAACAAAGTTCCCATACAGATTTCTTGCAATAGTTCTGTACACAACACAAATAAAATAAAATCATAAGACCATTGCCACATTAAATGTGTGTGTGTGTATTCACAGGAAGAGAGAGAGTTTGCCGTACTTTGTTCGCTCAGAAAGTACATCTGCAATTAAAAAAAGGGTATTGAAAACACAATACAGTTAGGAAAAGTAAATAAATAAATCATGACCCAAAAAATAGCCCTTGTTTGAATGTGATTATGTGAAAATCATTTCTTTCCAACCGTACATCCTCCAAAATTAATAATTTTTCACGTTTCTCCATAACCTTTTCCTTCATATTAACCACTCATTCTCCAAAACATTAATTTTCAAATAATCACTTTCACGCAAGCCTAAGTAACAAAATAAATCCGTGTATATAGATATGCTAAAAATCAATTTTTTCTTAGATTTTGATAAAAATTGATAAAACTTGGGCCCGAAAAGATGATAAAAGTTGTAAATCTTATGAAATGTGCGGTTGAAATGTGTTCGGAGAAAAATGCATTTTAATAAATTGACGTCGAAGAGGGACTAAGTTTCTTACTTTTTTCCTTGCCAGTTTGGCCAGTTCCTTTAGATGAATCTATTTCCTGATAAAAGAATTGATGAAACATTTAACTTCTCAAGTGCCATGTGACTAGTTAACTTGTACAACTCAAAAAAATAATAAAATAAAATAAAAATAAATAAATAAAACTTTGGGCAATTCAAACTGCAAAAGATATTAAAATAGAATAAAAGGCAGATTCTTATACAACAATGATTTATTTTACGTGCATCATCAGCCATCGCACTCAAATATTGGAATCAACCCCGGCAGATAAATCTCTCTGCGATGTACTCCTTCAACTGTATTTCTCCGGAAGTGAGTTCCAATGTCCCATTATGTGCATATTTGGCTTAGGGACATAATTTTAAATTTCCTTATAACGCATAAGTAAGCTTTAAATTAGATAACTGTTTGTTGGTCAAGTTACTTACCTACATTTGGAAAGAATTTAAGAATATTTAAATTTATAAATATACAGATATGAATGGTGGATACTACTCTTAGATCCATTAAAACGTATGGTCGAAAATGAAAATTTATAAATCATAAATAAGTTTTTCCTAATTAAGGGTCATGCAGCCTCTACCTTACACTCAATAGCAATCTTTATTTATTTTTACTTCTAAATAGGAAAAAAATAATTTAAACCTATACGCGTTTAGGAAATATATATATTTCAAAATAAGTTTGGATTCTTTAAACATAGCCAAATATGCTTCGAACTGGAAATTTGTAATGAGTCATAACTTCAGTGCAGAGAGCCCCAAAGATTAAAAATAAATAACATCATACCTCATCCACTGGAGTAACATTCAACTCCAGGTCTTCACTTAGAGAATAAACCTCCTCCGGCATTCCATTATTTGAGCTTGAAGGTTCCAAAATGTCAAAAATTTCTTCTCTCTCCTGCGCTCTCAGTGAGGTTGGATGAGTAACTGTAGTTGTGGGAGCAATTGGAGTTTGTTCTCGAGATTTTGGTGTAATAGATGATCTTGCCTCATCTTGACTTGCAAATATTTCATCATCTTCAAATGGATTGGTTAGCAATATCTTTTTGCATTCAAGTGATCGAAGATCTAATGAGATACCTGCATACAGTACAAAATTAAGGTGAAAATATTACAATGAAATCTGGGCCAGTGACCTTTTATTATAGCTGCACAATCAATCCTCAATATCAGTAAGCATCATCACGTGGTCCTCATGGAAACATGCCTCACTTCAAATTTCAGAGCAATAAAATTTAGCATCATATAGTGATACATGAAGAATTAATGGAGATTTAAGTGGCTCCCCTCGGTAGGAATGACAGCGTAACTATGCGACCAACTTGCTCCATTGAAAGATGGTTTGCAAGCATGAAGTAAAGGTCCAAAACTACAAGCCAGTTTTTTCTTGTTGCAGGCTGCAGCAAACTGCCAAAATGATCAAATGAACTCACCCGAAAATAGATGATCCAAGAAAGTCTGAGGGAGATTAGAAAGTTTGTGAGCTCTCCATGCATGTAAAATGGTACGAGGAACATTCTTTCTCTTACATATCAAGTTACTTGCATCATCTATCCATTGTTTGAACATCCTACAAAATTTGAATATAATTCACAGTATAAGTTTCAATTAGCCTGCATTTGAGAAGAATTTATTGGTGGTTGATAATTGTATAGTATTTGTGTATCCATTAGAATCTCAAGATGAAAATAAATGATTTAAGATTTTGCAAAACGGAGTCTTAAATTTAGCCATACATTCCTTGAAAGGGCATCAAAATGAAGATTACAATTAAATGTTTGAAACAATGTAGAGCGTTTGATGAGAGTATCAAGACCCTATGCCTCATTGCATGTTTGCAATGTTTTAAATCAAAATACAGTTTTGGCTAAACGTACTTTCATGTGACTTCATATTTCCATAGATACATTGTTCTTACATTTAAGGAAAACAAGTTACTTATTTTAAAAGTAATTATTACCTTACTATTTCTATCCTTACCAATAAAAAATAATTTATGAACTTTCTTATTTAGCCCTTGTTTGACACCTATTTTAAAGAAGAATTTGATTTGGAATAGTGATTAATGGAAGAATGTGTGGTTAAAAAGTAAAGAGAATTTTTAGGTTTATGTGTAATATTATTTTATTGATAAAATATGTGGTTAAAATGAAAAAAGAGAAAAAAAAATGAGAATGAAAATGAGAAAAAATGGATGTCAAACAAGGGCTTTGTAAATATTTTAAGTGTGTCAAACATGCTCATTATATCATAATCTTATTTTATAAATATAGGACATGCAATGCCATTGTGAATACCAAAATTTAAAATTTCAGATTCAATTGAAACCTTGTCAAACTTATAAGTTACACACGTACTTGTTAGATACCGCCATGGTTCTGTCAAATGAAGACTTCCGCTTCTTCAAAACTTTCACACGCTCCTTTGGAGCTGGAGTGTGAACAGCCATAATCTGCGGTGTAGCAGCGCCTGCATTCAAGATACCAGAATCATGAACATAAAAGTTACTAGATGGCATCCTTTCACAATGATACAGTAGTCATTATCTGACAATAAAACAAGATACCAGAAAATCTAGCATGCAAACAAGGTAAATATGCCATCTATTTGAGAGATGAAATTGGAAATCAGAGAGAGATAAGCATGCCAATATAGTTAAAAATTGGAATTCTTATCTGGAACAAATCTCTTACCCCGCACCAATCATTTTGGAATACTTAAAATACAGAAATAAAATACAATATAAAAATTCCCAAAGAATTCACAAGTTACATTCAAGATTTTATTTAAATAAATATGCAAGTTCTCTCTGATACACGTAAAAGCACGATTCATATTCTCATCAAAGGCCTCGTAGGTAGAATTTTCATACATGGGTGGCAGCCAAATTTGAACAACAGATTTTACCCATTATAATATCATGCTGGTGTTCAACGCATTATAAGAAAAAAATACTCGTATAAATTAGAATGTACCAACCACCAGGATCCTTCGAGTCTGAAGTCACATCAAACGCAATGGATGTTGAACATTCTTCTATCTTCCGACATCTTCTGCTATCTGAGACGGTAATTTCTGGAAGTCTCGTGTGCTCTACATCTAGTGCCTCATTTTCATAAAATGACCTAGAAAGATTAAGTGATTCCTCTTCTCGTGAGTTCCATTTACTCATCGGATACTCCATATGCTCTTTTGCCATCTCGTGCTCTTTATCAGATAGTCTATCATGGCCCCATTCATTTTCAGCCTCGCCCACTACCAAAGGATCCAGACGATCTTCTAAAAAGAACTCGGTCCCACAAAAAATCTCCACGCTCGCCACTGAGTTCCTCATATTATGCGATGGGTTTACAACCAATTGTTCATCCACAGGGCGTGGCGAGAACACACTACAAATGGGAATGAAAATTTAGTCGGCGCAATTCTAAATTTATCTTCTGAATGGAGGAAGTACCTGATCTGAAATACTTACTCTCTGACTGGAGTATAAGCAGACCAATAAGCTTCAGAAAATGAAATATTCCCCTCATGATGATCCTGAATTGCCGAAAAATAAATAAATCACATCTCGTTCAAATACATCTATTTCAACATATTTGGTTTTTGTCAAGGGGATTTTATGAAATAGACAACCTTTAAGGATTTGTTTGATTGATATGTCCACAAAGGAATACAAACACAAAAATGGAGTAGTAATCCATGCTGCCTCGGCATTACATTGTTACTTAAAAGAATGAAATCAAATTTATAAATTCAGGTTTCCATCACGGGCTCCAATATATGCAGTATCTAAATGCCATCCTTTTCTGTAGCAATGAGTTCAGTATGTAACTTCAGAGGTAGGAAAGTTGTAGAAATAAATTGATTAAACAAAAGTTGAAGTTCAAAAGAGGATGTTAGAAATTTTGGTGCAACACTTTCGTTAATATACATTGTACTTAAATGTTAATTGCCAGACAACGAGTTCTCGGGTATGGTTAATGAATCAAAAAGAATTATCCTTGCTCATCAGACATTGCTGAATATCATGCACATCTGATTGCAATATATTGTTACTCTTTTCCTTCCTTCTAATATAAAAAACGATGGCATGCAAGAAAGAGTAGACACATTAAATGCTCAAATACTTGATAAGTCATGCATCACTCCAAGCATTTCTTTTCACAAAAAATTACCATTCACTCATTCAATGAAGATGAAAACATGGATATAGTATTTTATATTAGAAAATAAACAAGCTATATATATCACAACATCAAAGGAATTGAAAGGAAAGATATTCAAACAATATACCACATGTACCTCATCAAGATAGTCTACTGTGTTTCCCTCCTTCGTCAATCCATCTGATCAGTAAAAATAGTTAGTTATGCCAAGCCGCACATATGAGATAATAAGAGTGTATAGACAGAGACAAAATACCAGCAAGCGTGATGTCTTCATATGATCCCACATTTCCACTGCATAACCAAATATACAAAAACAGAAGGTAGTGAATCAGTGTTGCGTCTATTATCTAACCGAAACCGCAATTTAAAAGGAAATTAAAAAAAGAGATGGAACAAAATAGTAAATCGAATTGAAACGTCGACTCACTTGCTTACATCTTGACATTCCATAAATTCTAGGTCAAAAGCATCAAGTTCAAATCTCTTAGGAAAAGTGATAGTACAATGAGGTGTGCGTATACCTCCAATACTTACACCTTTCCTTTTGCCAACATTAAAATCATTGAGTTTAGCCACAACACCTTGGCAGTCATGGAACAGATACTCAACTTTTTTCGAGTATATTCTCACAACACCCAAAAGAAGGAATGCTAAGATTCGATATGTGAGCACCGGAACTTCATCTAGCAAAATCTTATCTGATAAAAGAAATGATTTTACATAAATCAGAGACAGAGTTTAAGATATGTGAATAAATAAGTTACTAATTGAAAAAAGTTTGAATTGATACCACACAAATTACTATCTATTGAAGCTCATCACGGAAAAGAAAAGAAATTTTGTGACTCGGATATGTAAACGGGGACCTCTTTAATATATTTATATCTGTGTAGGTTGATTCAAAAATAATTTTCTTCCAAGAGTCATAAAATACAATCGCGATACAAATACTGTTAGGATCTCTCAAACAACTTTCAGTATCACATTAATTACTTGTAAGCTAGGCTCGCAAAAACTAGAAAGCAGGCTGTTACAAATCAATTATCTTTGTTCTCTGAATAATAATTCAGTTAGGTTAAAATAAATTAAAATAACTGATAACAACAAAAAGAAAAAATATTTTGATCAAACGAGCAACACGGTGCAGCATGCAAGAGGAAATCATAGCAAGCTTTACATAAAGCAAAATTAAACCTGCTCCAGAACCCCGTAGTTCCTCATCATGACTACCAAAAAAAAAAAAAAAAAGAAGAAGAAGAAGAAAGGANAAGAAGAAAGGAAAAAGCATATAAAAATATATTTTCAGACAGGAATTCATGTACTGAACATTTAAACTAATTGCAAATACATTGAAAAAAGAATCCCATAAATACGAATAAAGGGAAACCAAACAGAAATTACTATTTCTCAACAACTGTATGAGATGAAGGCTTCTGCTTATTATCTCCATATATGTAGAAGCATATTTACTTTAGAGTTCTTAAAATTCCACAAAAAAATTAAAAACACAGTTCCCTTAGCACATTCAAATCCTAGGGAACAGGTTATCAAGTCAATCTTTCATCAGAAAGGGCAAATGAATGGCGAAAAAAACCCTTCTCGATTAATGGGAAAACAAGTGAGAAACTTCAAGAAATTAAAAGAGGAAACAAATCTTAAAAGTTTAGCCAAACATCACCCAGTGGAACAGAAAAGAAAGGAGAAAATAGAGACAGACCCACACAAGAGATGATATCAGTCTGTTTAACTGGATCTTTCTTGAGCCTTTTGTGGCAATGAGCAGCAAACCATACTGTGCCTAAAGGCCCCTTCTTTGATAGAAGCATATGTGAGTAAAACATCTTCTTCTTCTCAATTTTTTCTGTCTTTCAACTCTCTCTCTCTCTCTCTATACATGTATACGTTAAATCTAAAAAAAATATAGATACAGAAGAGAAAGGAGGTTAGGGTTTCTTGTTGATTTGCAAGATTGAAGAACATAGAAAATAAGATTTGTATAGTCTTGTTAGCAAGTAAAAAGACTAATATACCCTTGAAGATGAATAATTAATATATTTTAATATCTACTTTCAAGCTCATGACGTTGTTGTAAGAAGAATCGAGAGTTTACCGAACAAATCACGAAATTGCGAAGTGGAGTATGACCTTGTAAACAAGTGAGCAAACTGCATGGCGGAAGGAACGAGAGATAATGTGAGTGTCAAGCTAGTGATGATGCCGAAGGACTTGACAATCAATCTTGATATACTTGGTCCGCTCATTGAACACAAAATTGCACACAACGTGAACGGCACTCTTATTATTACAAGACAATGTACTAGGTTGGCTAAGAAACGCATTTGATCGCTACAAGAAACCAAGGTAACAAACTATCTCACCCGTAGTAGAAGCCATGACATGATACTCTAATTATGTGGAAGATCTAGTATCAATATCTTGCTTCTTGCACTTCCAAAAAATAAGAAAATCTCCAAGAAAGATTCCAAAGCCTATGGTAGACCGACGATATTAGCATCACTAATCAATCAATATAAGAATAGTCTCGCAACTCTAAGGACGAAATAGAGAAAACTAAATGACACTGAACTTAGTGCCTAGGTGATACCTCAAAATGCGAAGAACAGTAGCCCAATGAAGTAGGCGAGGTAACAATTTAACTAACGTAAAAATAGCATGAGCAATACTTAGATGATTGATGGTGAGATAAACCAAGCTACAAAGAGTAGTATAAACAATTTAACTAACGTATAAATAGCATGAGCAATATTTAGATGATTGATGGTGAGATAAACCAAGCTACAAAGAGTAGTATGATATAAACTATGATCCAATGATGGAGAACTATCAAAAGGAGAATATTGAGCTCAAGAAGTGTATCAACTTTCTTATTATCATTTAACACAAGCACGTTCAGATATATCAACTATGTACTGAGACTAGAAGAGAAGATAACGTTTTGGCGAGAAGGCTACTTCAGTATTCCAAAAGTAACATAGTGAACCCAAATCTTTCGTTGTAGACAATGAGGTAACTCTACTTTAGTGCTACAATCCCATCA